CCGTACCGTTTGCATTCCCACCAGCAGAGTATGAATGGGGTTCACCTGTTCCACATGCTTGTCAGCGTTTGGTATTGCCAGGGGTTTTTGTGGTGGTTTTCTGTGTTGGTTTTTTTTTTTTTTTAAGCCATTCTAATAGGTATGCTGTGGTTTCTCTTTCTGACTAATGATGGTGAGCCTCTTTCTATGTGCTCATTTACTATTTAAATGTCTTCTTTGTTGACTTGTCCAGATTTTTTGCCCATTTTCCTATTTGGTTGTTTGTCTTATTAAATTGTAATAATTTCCTGCCTGTTCTTGGATATCACTTATTTGACAGACATCTATGTATGGAATATTTTTCCCATTCCGTGGCTTGTCTTTTGATTTCTTAACTGTTTTTCAAACAGCAGTTTTTAGTTTTGATAAAGTTCAATATAACAACTTCTATATGGCTCGTGCTCTTTGTGTCTTAATTACGAAATCTTTGTGTAACCCCAGAGTCATGAACACTTTCTCCTATCTATTTTTTTTAGAAGCTTTCTTGTTGTGGCTTTCAAATTAGGTCTGTGATTAATTTTGTTGCATTGTTTTCCCACATGGATAGCTAATTGTTCTAGCACCATTTGTTGAGAAGACTATCCTTTCCCTATGGAATTGCCTTGGGAACATCTTTGTTGAAAATCAGTTGACAGTATACGTAAGAGTCCGCTTCTGGATGCTACTCTATTCCATTGATTTATTATATCTTTTTTTTAAATCAACCCTACCTTGTCTTTATTGCTGTAGTTTTATTGCAACTCTTAAAATCAAAGAGTGTAAATCATCCTACTTTATTCTTTGGGAATTATATTTGGCTTTTCTAGATCATTTGTATTTTTGTGTATATCAAGGAATATATATCCTAGTCTCAATTTTTATAAAATATCCTGCCGGGATTTTGAAATATCAATATTTCATTTTTTAAATGTTTATTTTGAGAGAGAAAAAGCATATGCCCTGTGTGAATGGGGGAGGGGGAGAGAGAGAGAGAGACTCCCAGATAGGCTCCATGGTGTCAGTGCAGGGCTCCATCCCACGAATGGTGAGATCATGACCTGAGTTCAATGCTTAACTGACTGAGCCGCCCAAGCGCCCCTCAGTACTTCATTCTTTTCTGTGTCTGTGTAATATGCCATTGTGGTGGGAGAGATCACATGTTTTTTAACCATTCACCTGGTGATGAACAAATAGGTTTCTAATTTTTCACTATTGTGAATAGTGTTGCTACAAATATTTATGTATACACTAGTAACTGTTTTCACTTCTTTTTGGTATATATCTAGGAGTGGAAATGCCGAGTCATATGGTAATTCTGTGTTTAACTTTAGGAGAATTACTAAACTGTTTTACCCAGCTGTTGTACTGTTTTACGGTGTTGGAGGGTTCCAATTTTTCTACATCTTTGCCAACACTTGTTATTTTCCTTTCTTTTAATTATTGCCATCCTAGTGGATATGAAGTGGTGTCTCACTGTGATTTTGATTTACATTTCCCTAGTTAGTAATGATACCGAGCATCTTTTTGTGCTCTGTTGGCCAGAACATCTTTTGTGTTCTGTTGTATATCTTCTTTGGGAGAAATGTCTTTTCATGTCCTTGCCTGTGTTTTATTTGGATTGCTTGTTAGTGAGTTGGAAGAGCTGATTATACTGGATACTAGACCCTTGTTAGGTATGTAATTTGCAAATATTTCCTTTCATTCTGTAGGTTCTCTTTTCATATATATATGAAAGCTTTTTTGATATAAAAAAGCTTCTAGTTTTTATGAAGTCCAATTTAGCCTATTTTTTTCTTTTGGTGTTCATGCTTTCGGTGTCATATCTAAGAATTCATTGTCAAATCCAAGGTCATGAATATCAGTTACTATCTTTTCTTAAAGTTTTAGAGTTTTAGCTATTTTATATTTAGATTGTTAATCCATTTTGAGTTAATTTTCATATATAGCATGAAGAGGGGTCCAGTTTCATTCTTTAGCCTGTGGATATCCAGTTGTCCCAGTGCCGTATTTTGAAGAGGCTAGATCTTTCCCCATTTGCATGATGTTGGCACCTTTGTTGAAAATTAGTTGACCATAGGTGTATGGGTTTATCTGGGCTTTCAATTTTATTCCTTTATGGGGCACCTGGGTGGCGCAGTTGGTTAAGTGTCCAACTCTTGAGCTTGGTTCAGGTCATAGATCTCACAGTTTGGGAGTTCGAGCCCCATGTCGGGTTCTGCACTGCTGGCATGGAGCCTGCTTGGGATTCTGTCTCTTTTTTCCCTTGCCCTTCCCCAGCTTGTGCGCTCTCTCTCTCTCTCTCTCAAAATGAATAAATAAGAACTTTAAAAAATGTTTATTCCTTTGGTGTATGTCTGCCCTCATGGCAGTCCCACACAAATGGATAGTTTTTATCTGTGGGATACAGGCACACCTAGGAGGTATTGTGGGTTAGGCTCCAGACTACCATGATAAAGCAAATATCGCAGTAAAGCAAATCCAATGAAAATTTTGGTTTTCCAGTGATATGAAAGTTATGTTCACACTATACTGCAGTCTCTTAAGTGTGTAATAGTATTACATCTAAAAAAACAACATATATACCCTAATTTAAAAAACACTTTATTGCTAAGAAAATGCTAGCCATCATCTGAGCTTTTAGTGCACTATAATCACTCATCACCATGACAAATATAATAATAATGAAATAGTTTGAAACACCGTGAGAATCACCCAGATGTGACACAGAGACAACGTGAATAGATGTTGGAAAAAGTGATGCCAGTAGACTTGCTTGATGTACGGTTTGCCACGAACCTTCAGTGTGTACAAAAACACAATATGGAGTGCAGTACGGGGAAGCACAGTGAAATGAGGTATGCCTCTACGTTAGTATAGTATGTTAATATTTCAAGTTTCGATTACTTTTAAGAAATTTTTAAAATGTTGGATAAGTTCATTGAAGAAATTACCTCCTGTAAGTGCCAGATTTATAACAACACACATATGCAAACTTGGTAATTTTGTTTAAAAAGTTTTGGGGTGTCTTCCCATTTCTCTGGCTGCGTACAGAATAATGATTTAGATATGCAGTCTATCAGGATGTGTTCTAATTGAATTTTCACTGTGGGTTAAACTTGCCTTGAGCCTCTACATGAAGGGCTAGTTATGTAAATAAATTCAAGCTGCCAGAAGGAGTTGGTGCTGGCTAGAGAAGAATTAGAATAGGAACAGTCTGCAGATTTGCATCCATCAGGAAAGGGAGTCATAACTATGGTTTCTAGAGGAAAAAAAATGACTGGCAACTCATGTGTTGTTTTTTTTTTAATGTTTTATTTATTTCTGAGAGAGAGAGACAGCATGAGCAGAGGAGGGTCAGAGAGAGGGGGAGATATAGAATCTGAAACAGGCTCCAGGCTTTGAGCTAGCTGTCAGCACAGAGTCCGGCACGGGGCTCGAACCCACGGACCGTGAGATCATGACTTGAGCCGAAGTGGGACGCTTAACCGACGGAGCCACCCAGATGCCCCTTAAGTCATGGTTTTTAACTTTAATCCCAAAACCAAAACTTTAGTACTTTTTTTTTTAAATGTTTTATTTATTTCTAGGAGAGAGAGACAGCGTGAGCAGGGGAGGGTCAGAGAGAGAGTCACAGACTGAAACAGGCTCCAGGCTCTGAGCTGGCAGTCAGCACAGAGCCCGACACGGGGCTTGAACCCACGAACCGTGAGATCATGACCTAAGCAAAAGTCGGACGCTTAACCTTAAGACTAAGCCACCCAGGCGCCCCAGTACTTTAAGAATCAGAATATGAGATGCCTCTGAAGTCTCTTTTAATCTATAACTTCTTTCTTCTCTTTTTCCCCCATAGTAACTTATTTACTAGAGAAACTGGCAGTTCTGTTGTTTCCCACAGTCTGGCTTTTGCTGATTGAATCTCTGTGGGCAGGCAGTTGAATGCGTCCCTCCACAGTCTTTATTTCCTGCAAACTGGTAGTTTGACATGATAAAAGCTTTTTTGTTACATGTTCACTTCATAGGTGATGTTTGTGGCTTCCACCAGGAAGTACCTAAATAAAGACCTGCTTATCTCTCTTTTCACGATAGTAACTAATTTTACTTGGCTTCATTTTAGTTTTAGCAATTTGAAGAGGCAGGGTGGTGTAGATGTTTAGATTTAAGCTCTAGGGGTGCCTGGGTGGCTCAGTCGGTTGGGTGTACGACAACTTCGGCTCAGGTTATGATCTCACAGTCCGTAGGTTCGAGCCCCACGTCAGGCTCTGTGCTGACAGTTCAGAGCTTGGAGCCTGCTTCAGATTCTGTCTCCCTTTCTCACTGCCCCTCCCCCGCTCACTCTCTGTCTCTGTCTCTGTCTCTGTCTCTTAAAGACATAAAAAAAAAAGATTTAAGCTCTAGAGCTCAAGAACCTGGGTTCCTGTTTTGATTTATTATCTACTGGTTCTCTAATCTTGGATCGTCACTTTCTCTTATGAGCATCAAGTTTCATATCTGTGAAATGGGGATGATGATGCCTGTTTAAGTGGTCGTTTTGAGGATTCAGTGAGAAAATGCATGGAAAAGAACCTTGCACAGAGCCTAGCATATAGTCCGTGGCCAATAAATGTACCTATTGTTCTGTGAATTTAAAAATATTCTAAAATAATCTGAAAAGTAGGTCATATCAATTTATAAATGAGGAAATTAAGTTTGGGGGTTTTTGGAGGGCTCACTTGTGTTCATTAGGGGAAAAAAGGAAGTCAGTTATTCAGCTGAGGTGAATAGCTCTCCTTTGCTCCCATCAATGTGTGTAGTTGAGTTTAGTAACCACTCCTAATAAGCTTAACTTCAAAAGTGATTTTTGCCCATGCTTCCTAAGTATTCACATTACCCAGCCCTCACCTAGTTTTGGGAAGTGGGCTCTTTCTTGAAGAGACTGTACCATAGCACGTTTTGTGCATGAAGTCCACCGAGAAATACTTACTGTTAATGTTTTTATTTTGCAGTGTAATGTTCAGGCTCAGAAATGCCTTATGTGGATCGTCAGAATCGCATTTGTGGTTTTCTGGACATTGAGGAAAATGAAAACAGTGGGAAATTTCTTCGAAGGTACTTCATACTGGATACCAGAGAAGATAGTTTTGTGTGGTACATGGATAATCCACAGGTTTGTAAAATCCAAATGGTTACCTTTTTTCCAAAGCACACAAGGATTTTAATTATTCAAGTATTTAACATTCTATACGGGTGTGAGGATTTGTCCTAATAAACAGTATATGTTTAGATTTAGTTCTATTGCCGGCGTTCTTTGTCTGCACCCTCAACTCCTAGCTGTCTTCTTTGAATTTTAGAAGTTGCAACTAAGTTTATTTAATAAGAATTTATGCATGCATATTTGTTTTTTTCCCCCCTTGGGAGAGAAATGCTGTCTCTGGTAGAAAATACTTAAATCATTTAAATTTAAGATACTGTCCCTAGAGACTGCTGTCTTTTGTTTCTTTGGTAAAGAACTACTTCAGCTAGTTGACACTCTTGCGCATGGGTAGTCCTTTCATCCTGCAGGGTCAGATTTGCGAGTCAGCCAGTGTAATGCTGTTCATGAGTTGATTTTATTGTTGCCTTTCAAATCATTGGGGAAATGTCATAAATTAAAAATTAGGATCCCCATGTTGAGATCTGTGAAAGACCTTGGATTGGAGATTATCTGTCGAGTAGTTTTTAATTTTTTCTCCTTGTAAAACTCTCCCTTCACATTGGGATGGTTGTTGCAAGGATGAGTCCCGAGCAAACGTCTAAGCTGATCTGGTCTAGTGGGCGAGGGACTCTTAGAGTCAAAGGAGAAGCGGGACTGGTTGGGGGTGCCCTTCTGTTCCGCGGAGAAGGAGCTGGATCTCCTGACGACCAGTCTGGTATTCGTTACCGGCCTGTACTTACTTTAGGTTAGACAAAGTACGTATACACTAGTGCCTTTATTTGTAGTTGTTTCTGTGGAATTCAAGTTTTAAGAGATCTTAGTATAAATTTAACCTCCTCTTTAATGCCAGAAACCTGTCATTCCCTGGTCTTCACTTTAGCTGTTGTTCATATTACACATTATTAAAAAGTACTTGCTGTATTTGAGACGCTTCAATTATTATTTGCTCTCTGAGCCAGAATCTGTTTCCTTGTATTTGCTAGCCATTAATCCAACTCTGTCCTCTGATTCTCTATAAAGTTTAGTCCTTTTATCCAGACACAGCCTTTCAGAAATTAGAGGGTAATTTGTGTTTTAATTCAGTGTAGATTATTTGAGTGCTGACCCTCAGACTTTTCCTCCTAGGAGTGGTCTATGCTCTCTCCTTATCCTTAATAGAGCTTATTGACACTGTTTTACTCCCTTATCTCTGGGTGTGACCACCTTTCCTGGGTGATAGTAACCTGGCTATTCAACTGTATGATTAATACCTTTATTTACTTGTCCAGAGTCAGTGGGAGAAGAAACAGGTCAGCAGAAATCAGAAGTTCATATTTGCCTTTTTTTTTTTTTTTACATCAGATTTCTCCCCTTTATCACCCCATCTTTTTATCTGTGGCACACCCTCCCAAACTCTCTTTCACAAAGTGGAAAGTAACTTTGTTCCCCTTGACTCCCTCTAATTACTAGTTAGCAGATCCCAGTTTCTGGTTCTCTCGCTTACGAGCTGTTGCGCAGTCTGCCCGTGCCCTTCCTGGTTCGTCTCTCTTCGCAAGATCTGGCGGGCCGGTACATGTGCTTTCTCCTGAATTGTATTTATTTATTTATTAAAAAAAAGATTTTTTTTTTTTTTTTAACAGAGAGAGACAGAGCATGAGCAGGGAAGGGGCAGAGAGAGAGGGAGACACAGGATCTGAAGCAGGCTCCAGGCTCTGGGCTGTCAGCACAGAGCCCAATGCGGGGCTCGAACCCACAGACTGGGAGAGCATGACCTGAGCTGAAGTCGGACGCCCAACTGACTGAGCCACCCAGGCGCCCCTCCTGAATTGTATTTAAAGCTCCTTGATTATTTTTCTTTCTTCACATATAATAGATTCTCCTCCTCAGAATTCCTCCTTTTATCGGCACTTCCCACTTAGAGCCAGAGGAAGGTGGGCACCCCTGGGGCTCTGTTCGTTACACTGAAGGAAAAGAACTTGGAATTCAGAGTTAAGATCTTCATGGAAGTAGTAGCATTTGGAATTGACCCAGAAGGGTGGGTACGATTTTGGCCAAGAGACGGAGAAGTGGGTATTGCAGTGCTCTGAGAATAGCATGGGCAAAGAAATCCAACAAGGAAGCCCATGGTGTATGTGGAGAATAGGTCACTTTGGCCATAGCAGGCAGGGTGTATGTTGAAGTTTGCCCTCAGCCAGGTCTTTTTTACATGAACTCTTTTTTTTTTTTTTTAAAGTTTGTTTGTTTGTTTGTTTAAGTAATATCTACACCCAGCGTGGGCTGGAGTTCACAGCCCTGAGATCAAGATCTGCATGCTCTTCTGATTGAGCCAGCTAGGCACTCCACATGAACTCTTTTAAAGCCAATTTTCCATGATGTAATTAGCACATTGTTTTTTATCGAATGTAGTACAGAATTTTAAATCTATTTTGTATTCTGTCTTAATAATTTTAACTCTTCATTCTGATGAGAATCTTTTACAGTCTTTTAAAATTTCTTAAAAATATTTATGTTGAGAGAGAGAGACAGTGCAAGTCGCGGAGGGACAGAGAGAGAGGAGATTCCAGGCAGGCTCCATGCTGTCAGGCTATCAGCACAGTGTCTGATGTGGGGCTTGAACTCAAGAAACTGTGAGATCACCACCTGAGTGGAGGTCAAGAGTCGGACACTTAACTGACTGAGCCACCCAAGCGCCCCCCACTTAAAAAACATTTTTTTTTTTAATGGAATCTTCTACAATCTTGACTCTGACACCATGGATTAGCCATCAACATAGCAGCTTGGTGTCATTTTTAAATGTATTAATAATGTATCTCCTCATGAAAACTTCAGTAAAATGTCCAATATGCCACTATTTTGATCTAATAAAAAATGACATTTGATCTATTAAAAACTGTAGTTTCTTATGTTAAGGTGCTGTGGGTGAGAATGATCATAATAACCCTGATAATGAAAGAAAATCCGTTTGACTCACCATTCTTCCTCCATTTTCCTTTCTTTGCCACTAACCATTGGTTTAAAAATCCATTCTGTGTATCACTAGGAATCATTTTGGAGCTTTCTGTGTTTTGTCGAGGGTGTGGGTATGGTGGAGAATTAAATAATTGAGTAGCTGTATCAGGAAGTGGGTTTGAAGACTGGAAAAAAGTATTTTGGCAAAAGGAGTGTAAGAACTCACAAGGAAAAAATGGCTTATTTTCCTTTTTATCTTCAATGTCCTGAGTTGATTATTTCTTGTTCACTGTCAAGTGACAGATTTTAAAACCTACTTTTATTGTAGTTGAACTTGTCAGTAATCATACCGATCCATAGAAACTAGGTATTTTGAATATTCATTATCTCTCAGCTACTTATATTTCCCTGTACTGTGCCACTATTCAGTCTATGATCCTTTATGTCATGCAGCCATGACGTAGGTCTCATTTCTCTTCCTCATACAAAAGCTTAGAACTGTATTCAGTTACTTAAAATAATAAATTTTTGGAGGACTTAAAAAAAAATAACAATTTTGAATGAAGGGTAGCAGTGTTTGAAAAAAATCACTTTGATAGTAGTTAGGAGGTCTTTTTAAAAAAATTTTTTTTAATGTCTTTATTTTATTTTGAGAGACAGAGACAGAGAGCAAGAGAGGGAGGGGCAGAGAGAGAGGGAGACATAGAATCTGAAGCAGGCTCCAGGCTCTGAGCTGTCAGCACAGAGCCCGCCGTGGGGCTCGAACCCATGGACTGTGAGATCATGACCTGAGCCGAAGTCGGACACCCAACTGACTGAGCCATCCAGGTGCCCCAGTAGTTAGGAGGTCTTTAAGGACATTTTAACATTTAATTTCCTTATCCAAAATTAGAAAAAAAAACAGAGAGCAACCTCTAAACTTAAAACATTTTGTGTAAGAACACAACCATTTAAAGTTACACCTTATTATTTTATATACATATTTATTTATGGTTTATACTTAGAAGCTTGAATGTAGTCTACAGTTTAAAGCAAAACATATTGCAGTTTACATAGGAGTGAACACTTGAGAAGACCGGTCCCTGGTCAGCAATAACCAGTTTATATTTGGGAGTCTTGAGGCTTTTGTAGAATTGTTTCCAGTGAGCTTATAAAGAGGTCCGAGAGAAGTACCTCGTAATCATTCATGGGAACAAAGCCGAAGGTTTTCTTTTACTGACATTATCATAAAGTCAGTAAAGAAGCTGGTCTTGGTTAATCTACAGTGGAGGAAACTTTCAAAGTTAAGACTGTTTTACTGCTAAAATCTATTAGAGTTTTCCTTTATATATTCTTTATTCATTTTTTCCAGATTCTTTTCCCTGGTGTTCCGCCTCCATCTTCCCCCTCTTTAATCCATTCCCTTTATACAGCACAAACTACAACCCTGTATGGCCCCATATTACATGTAGCTTTTGGCCACCCTCATCTGTTTGCTGTAGCTCCTCTCCTTTCTCTGCCTGGAATATTCTCTCTTCTGCTGATTGCGATTCAGATTTTTCCTTTAGAGACCAACTTAAATGCTGTTCGTTTTTCCACAGAGATATTCCTGCTAGTCTTTGCCAGAAATGACTCTTCTTCATTCTTTACCTGTAGCTCTTCTAAGACCCAAACCCTGCCTCTAAATTGTTTAGGGAAGAACAAAAATATTTTAGTGAACATGTCAGTATATACATTTCCCTACATACAGCTTAAAGAGTTTCAGTTAATAATTATTTTACAAAATGGAATCAATATACGTAAAGTATAGTGTAATAAATACTAATATATTTAAATGGAAGAAAATCATTTTTTAGGGATATACTTGATTAAAAAAATTTTTTTTTTTTAAATGTTTTATTTATTTCTAGGAGAGAGAGAGAGAGACAGCGTGAGCAGGGGAGGGTTAGAGAGAGAGGGAGTCACAGACTGAAACAGGCTCCAGGCTCTGAGCTGGCAGTCAGCACAGAGCCCGACGCGGGGCTCGAACCCACGAACCGCGAGATCATGACCCGAGCGAAAGTCGGACGCTTAACCAACTACGCCACCCGGGCGCCCCTGATTAAAAATTTTTAATAGAACAAAGTAATATGTATAGCCTTGAAATCTCTTAAAATTGCATTTCTGTCTCAAGTATTTCTTTTCCCATTGCCTTCAGGATTGATTTTGTTTATGGCTTTTAAAGCTCATGAAAAAGGAAGTAATGATAAAACTAGCCTTTTAGTTATGGAATGCCTTACGGTGGAACTGAATAGAATTTGGTTTGGTTATCCATGCTGTCAACTTGATTTGTAAATACTTGAAGTGAAAAAGTTGATTTGTAAAGTATAATATTAAAAACATCTAATTTCTTAACTGGTTTTAGTATGTGTAGAACATTATAATATAAATTAATGTTGGATATTAATGTTGAGTATTAATTATATATTAATGATTTGTTTCCAGAACTTACCTTCTGGATCATCACGTGTGGGAGCCATTAAACTTACCTACATTTCAAAGGTAGTTTTTCGATATTGGTTCACAGTCATGCATGAATTAGCATTGCTCGGGATAAGAGTGTGACTAAGGGGTGGTTTTCCTTTTGTGTCATTTAGTGATGACGTTCAGGGTCACATCATGCTTAAGATGGTACCGCCACAATGTGTAGGAATGTCATTGATAGAATTAGGAAGAATATAGAGTTAATTGTAAGATGTGGCAAATTGCAAAAGTTAACATTAGCTTTTATGATTAGGTATATGAATACCAGAAAGAGGAAAAGCAGTTAGCAATTAAGTTCTGTCTTTGGGAAATCTGAGATCATGATCCGAGCCAAAGTCAGGCGCTTAACCAACTGAGCCACCCAGGCACCCCTGGAGAAGATTTTTTTCTAAGTCTGTCTTATATGAACCGTTTTCCAGCTTTTAATCCCATTACCTTTGAATTTTTGTTTCTTTATGTTTTATTTTGAAGAAAGTAAGAATCATCTTCATGATAAAAGAAGGATTTTTCCCTCATTTCACTTCATCTCTACTAATTTCTGTTACCTTGTTTGTTGATTTTTCTGGAATTTTTGCAATACTGTTTTCCTTTCCAAAAATTTAGATTGGGTATTTTCGGATATTTTTTCCCTTTATTATATTGGTGTGGGAACTGAGATAGAGATGTCGAAGAGCTAGGCCTGCGGGGTTTTTATACAAAGTAATGTGTGTTGATGGCTTAAGATATAAGATGTGAAAAGTAGCATTAAGTAACATGCGTGTGTATATTATTATGCACATATTGAGATTTGTTAGCAAAGTCCAGAGAAGACCAGTTTACAAGTGTGCTTGTAAAGACAGACACTCATAGAAAGAGTACTTTGTTATCAGTATCACAGTAGAGCTGTTCATTCTCACTGACAAAACAAAAAACAAAAAAAGAAACACACGTCAGCCCTTGGATGACAAAGATTACATATTTAAAGGGAAACATATTATTATTATGTATTTAATTAAAACTATATTATTTAATTTGTAGAAGACACATAATGTGTACATATACCTTAAGTGTTCCTGTAAATCAAGACATTTAAAAAGTGCTTCAGGGTCACTCGCAGGTTCAGTTCTATAGCGCTTCTTGTTAGGAAGCATAGGATTCCTTTGTAACGTAAGAGCCGGAGCCCCCACATGCTGGCCTGCAGCGTGCGTGTACTGTGATGTGAACACGCTGCCAAGCCTTCTTGTCTGTGCAGTGATGAGGAGTAGGCCGTTGAGGGAGAGATTGCCCATATGCTCCTGTCTTTTCAATCATTTGCTGTTGCCTGGTCTTTTTAAAAATAAAGTACTAACTAAGCAAATGGCCCCAACTGACCGGCTGCTTCCTAAATCTTCCTCTGCTCCTCTTTTAAAATAAAACCCTTTCTGGGCCGTTCTGTTGACTTTCATCTCTGCCCCGAAGTTTCAATTGTACAGTTTGTACTCTACTTCAGACATGCCACTTTTTTCCCAGAATTTATTCTTGGAACAGATTCCAGTGTGACTCAGAGCTGTGAATTTGTAGTTGAGATCAGTCAGGAACCCCAGACTAAGAATTCCTTTTGAAGGCACAAAACAGATGCTACAATGATATGTTCTGACACTGGGCAGTCAGGTGGTAATAGCCATGAATAGGCTTCCAGGAGAGCTACTTTATTTGAAGGAATCACAGTTACCAGGTCCTAGCTGCTTTCCTTCTGAAAGGAACTATGTGCTGCCTTTAGCAAAGGAACCCCACGATCCCAGGATATTCTACTGTGCGAGAGGGGATCCAGTGCCGTTTTGGGTTCCTCATTGCAGATTAATGCCTTTTGGATTTTTGGACTTTATTAAATACATAATCTCCCCCTTACCCACCATCATTTTCTCTTAAGGTTCACAGCTCATTTAGAAATAGGCAATCTGGGAAGAATTCAGAGTTTCTGTGGTTTATTACGAGGGTGTTTTAAAAATTACATTAAACTACAAGATGTTCTATGTGTTACATAAAACTTAATGGTTTACTTTCAACTTCTTCACATTTCCTTCAAATAAATGGAAGTTTGTTCAAAGACAGCATGGAAGTGTCATTTGTTTTGAACGTCTTACAGTTGGGGCCCATATTCTATGTTCAATTTGCAGTTCTTTTCCAGTAGCCTTTTAAGTTTAATTTTAGGCCTGAGTGCTAAATGCGTGGGATTACTGGGAAATCGTACTTGTGGAAGTTGACGCAGCGTTTAAGGTTGGTTACAGCCGTGTATGAGGAAATGAGTGACTCGTCTCTCTTTTTTGTTAGGTTAGCGATGCAACCAAGCTAAGGCCAAAGGCTGAGTTCTGCTTTGGTAAGTAGCCATATTTTATATGTTAATTCATGTAAGTTTGGCTAACATAATTACATCATGTTGTGAAAGAAAACCGTCCTGGGAAGCCACACAACACAAACCTATGGGCGAATGGGTTTATTCTAAGGCAAATTCCCCTGACGCCACCGTCCAGGTGAAGAAAGAAAACTTCTCCCCTGAAGCCTCTCTCCTGTGTCTCTCCCAGTGCCAGCCGCCTCCCTCTGCTCAAATGTAGGCACTGTCTAGGCGTTTATAGTGATGAGCGCCAGTGAGATTTCACGTAATTTCTCACTTTCTACCTTGTGTTATTCTATATTAAATGCATAAATAACAGGAAGGATTTGGTTTTCAGCTTGTGGGTAACGAGAACTTTAGTTTGAGGGGAGAGGTAGTTGAGGGTGTCTGATTCACTTGTTCAGCAAACATTTAGGGATTAATGTCTTGGCACTGGGCTGTGAGAGTTCTAAGAAGCAGTTGCTGCCCTTAAGAACCTCACAGGCTGGTTGCCTCCCAGACAGACACCCCACCTGGTGCGATCCTTGCATTTCTTACAGTCAACAGATGATGGTGTGTACAGTTTATTAAAGAAGCACAAAGGACGAGCTTCAGATCCTTACTGGGGATCTTGGGAATCGGGAAGCCACACTGGGTGAGGAGACACTTGAGTTGGTGGCCAGCTAAACCTTGGTCATCCTCTGTCATTGGGAAGAGAAGGGAGAGGGATCACAGGGCCAGAGGCACGCAGGGGAGAAGAGTGTGGTGTGTGCAGCCAGCTGAAATCCTCGGTGAGGCTGGCGGGAATGGTGAGAGACCGGAAAGTGAGAGGCCAGGCGGAAGTCCGGGCATAACATGTTGACAAGGGGTGTGTGTGTGGGGGGGGGTGGGTGTGTGTGTGTGTGTGTGTGGAAACGAGAGGTGAGAAATTAGAGAGCATCTAGAAAGCTGACATAGGTGAAGGATGTTTTTTGTGTGGATAGGAGAGTTTTGATACAGGTAGATTAGTTCAGTGGCTTCCGAACGACCATCCTTATCTACGGGCCTGAATCTGGGCGGTGGCGGGGGGAGAGAGAGGAAGACAAACAATACTGGGAGGAAACGTGCAGGGACTCGGTGACAGGATATGTGGGAAGAGAAAGTTATCAGGTGGGTGTGCTTCAAGTAAGGGAATGAGGACTCGAGAGCTGGGTTGGGTAAGGCATTTGGTGAGGAATTTGAAGTGGTGGGGAAACATCCAAATGGACATGTTCCAGTGGCGGCAACTGAGGATGGATGGAGCCTGAAGATCAAGAATGGAGAAATTTGGAGCTGGTCAAAATAGTGGGTGGTAGTTGAAGCCTGGAGAGTTGATGTGCTCTCAGAGTCGGTGAATGGACACTAGTGCTAGAAGGGACAAAATTCAGAGTGGCCAACTGGCATCAAAAAGGACCATTAATGTAAAATACTTCTTGAGGTAGAAATGACATCAGAGTTCTTTGTTCTCTTTTGCTTGAAAAGCGGAGCCTGCTTCTTGAGGCATTGTGTTAGGGATAAGATCTGGTGGCGGTCACATACATCCAGTAGGAGACTAGGGTATGAGCAGGATGTAATAGCTGTTCAGAGAATCCTCTATAAGGCTTCTATCGCCACTAAGAAACCAAAAGAAACATTTATGTGCTTACTAGAAACTTATAAATAGGAAAATGCCTCAGTGCCTTGTGAGTGAAAAGCTAGTGGGAGCAAGTCAAGTAACAGAGAACTTTGTTTTGGAATGTATAACACATATTCTCTTGACAAGTCTTTTTTTTTTTTTCCTTTTTTAATAGTTTATTGTCAAGTTGGTTTTCGTATAATACCCAGTGGTCATTCCCACAAGTGCCCTCCTCCACGCCCATCACCCCCCTTCCCCTCCCCCCACCCCCATCAGTCCTTAGTTTGTTCTCAACATTCAACCCTCATGGTTTGCCTCCCTCCCTCTGGACAAGTCTTTTTAATGTAAAACCTTTAACCTACAGCTTGAGGGAATAATACTATATAGTAATATATGTAACATTCAGTTATTGGAGTATTTAGAATGGGTGATTTTAGTTGGAGTCGAAGATTAAGATTATTTGTTGGTCTGCCAATAGTTTGTTGGTCCATACCATAGGGGCAATAGAGAAGAGATTCATAAAATGCTTGTCTTCAGAGAGGACGGCCCAGCTTCCTAAAATGGAACCACAGCTTCCATTCAGAATGGCAGTATAAAGTTTCTTCCACCTTTATTTCATCTCCGATTGTTCAAAAACAAGTGAGAACAAGAAACACTCAAACCATCTTTGGTGAAACTGGCAGGCGTCTAACCCACAGTGTACACAGATGGGAAGTGGATGGAGGAATTCCATTCTGGAATAACCATTCCAGTAGAGAAGAGGCCAGTGAGGAGCTGCCGCCACCCCACCTTCAGAGAGACTTAGGTTCTGGGCACTGCTGTCTGGGGATGCAGTGGAGAGGAGGGCCAAAACCAGAGACTACATTTGGATGTCTGTGTCAGGGACCGCCTCTTAGTCCCTGCTGCCATCCAGCTTAGCCAGGCAGCTGCCCTTCCACCACCCCCACAAGAAATGGCATGTGTGCTACCTTCAGAAATAGAATCAGTGAGGGGCTCCTGGCTGGCTCAGCTGGAGGAGCATGTGACTCTGGATCTCGGGGTCGTGAGCTTGATCGAGCTCCATGATGGGTGGAGAGATTACTTAAATAAAAACTTAAAAAAAAAAAAATCAGTGTGACTCTGTGCTTGAAAAGGGGAGAGACGAGGCATGAAACTGAAAGTAAGTGGACTAAGTGAAAATCTGTGCATGGAATGCACCTCTTCTCCTGTGTCCAGTCCCAGAGCACGAGGCAGCCAGCTGTATTGGGGTGGGTGTGCATCCCCTAGAGAAGAGAGCCAGAGGTGCTGACATCTGGGCATTTCCACTAGAAGAGCTTGCCATGCAGGGAAGTCCAGCAGTTAGTAACCCTACATACCTTTCAGAGAGCTTCCAGTTAGTTTTTTTAGTACCTTGTTTTTAAATACGAATAGACAGGCCGGGATTACATGACATTTGAGGAGTGAGCCCCATCAGTTAGGAAAAGGAACACAAGACAATGCAAAACTCAGAAGAAAAAGTCAAAAACTCTAAAAGCCAAACAAAGACAAAGACAGATGAGAGGAGAGAAATAAGAAAATTAAAGGTTCCTTGAAGAAAGTCTGCCATCTGCTTAAGAGAAGGAGAGGATGGAGAAAGAATAGAGGGAATAGAGAAAACTGGCCAATAAGGTAAGAAAGTGTCTCGTGACCATTTGTTCCATATTCGAGCCATAACCAGTTGATTGTAGGTGTGAGATGATTTTTGTTTGCAGCCAAGCTAATGTTTGTGCTTCAGCCTTTATGATGGTAAAGATTTGAAGTGAAGTAGAAAAGTACTCAACCTGGAAAGGTAGGAGAACATAAGCCTCCCGTGGGTGGAGTCATCCTGTCATGTGGAACACTGGATTCAAAAGCATGGCAACTGGCAGGTTTTGTACACTTTATTTTTCTTCAAAGATTTTTCCATACTTTCTCTGTCCCCCCCGCCCCCCTCCCCCCCGCAACATTGATTGTTACTGTGTGCTTCTCAGTAATTTGCCCTACGTTTTCCATACTGTTTCCTTACTGGAAGTCTCCAGATGATGAAGATGACGTTGTCTGTTCTGTCCCAGGCACTGTGCTTCTTCCTTTACATATATCACCTCCAACCCTTTGAGGAGTGGATGGGTTGCATCCATTTCCTTGATGAAGAAAATGGGGCTCATAGAGATTACAAACGTTTTGCAGGATATTATTGCTAGTTAATGGCATGGGCTGGTCAGGTCTGAGTGACTCCAGGCTCTGATTCCAACCTCCCACTTCCCCCCCCCCCCATCATATCATTATGCCTCTTCCTGCCATGAAATAATACAGCACATGAGTTTTTATTTGGCCTGCAATTTCTGCTGAGAACCTTTTTAGAGGTTATTTGCCTCTTTTCTTTTTTTTTAAAAAAAAAAGTCCTTATATAAATTTTATTCATTCAAAACTAGATGTATTAAGCACTTACTTTGTATCAGGTGTAGTGTAGTACTAAGTGCTTCGATTCTCAGACTCTTCAGATGGTCTCCACAGATGCCCAGAACAGCATTGAGGGGAGAAACCATTGGGAGGGGGCCCAGCCTCAGCCGGAGGTGGAACAAGGTTGTGAAAAGAGTCTCGGCCGATTGTTAGAAATTAAAAATAAAAGCCACGTGTTGATGTATGTAGTATTGTGCTACTCTTTATCTTAATTTATGCTTATGGCATTGATAATTTCTCTAGTCTCTAGTAAGATATAAAAGAACTGATTGACAGTGTTTTAAGTTTCTTTAGTTTCCAGACTAGTTGTCTGACAGCATTTCACAAGGTGCTCTTTGACTTTCTTGCTCAGATCCTCATCTCCATTCAAGGAAGCTCTGCTTTAGTGTCATGGTCTCAGGTCCAACTTCAAAGTCCTGTGCATTTGAGAAATAACGTTTTTCCTTGAGGGTTTTCATTTCCCCCTTTCCTTAGTCATATCCAACTGAGTGCTGGTAGGTCATTTGATATATATATTTTTAAGTTTGTTTATTTTGAGAGAGAGAGAGGGAGAGAGTAGGAAAGAGAGAGTGGGAAGGAGGGAGAGAGGGGGAGAGAGAGAGAGCGAGAGAGAGCGAGCGAGCGAGAGTGCGCGCAGGGAAGGGGCAGAGAGAGAGTATCCCAAGCAGGCTCCACGCCCAAAGTGGGATCTCTTGAACCGTGAGGTTGTGACCTCAGCCAGAATCAGGAGTTGGATGCTCAACCGACTGAGCCACCCAGGGACCTCTAAAGGTGTTTATTTTTATAATCTTGAGTTGGGGAGATTTTCTAAATTTGTGAAAGCTCAAATCATTATAGGAAAAGGAAAAGATAGAATATTTTTCTGTTTGATAAAAGATACCATGGACAAAGTGATGAGGTAAATGACAGGCTGGGAAAAATACTTGAAATAAAACAGAAATGATTAATATGAAAGCTCTTAGAAGATAATACAAAATAAATGAACACTGAAGAGAAATATAGATAAAACTCACAAAATAAATTCTATTGGCCAAGAAACATAGAAACTAATTTGTCTCAATAATGAGATAAATTCACATTTAAACAAGATATAATCATTCACCATTTGGGAGGTCAGAGATTACTGTATCTGTCGGGGTCCAGTCGGGAAGACACTCTGCACTAGGTATTTCAAACCTGAGGTATTTGTTGCAGGGGATTGCCTACCCAAGTGTTGGAAGGCTGAAAGTGCAAAGGGAATGCTGAGGAAACCCAGAAATTAGAAACGCCCAAAGCAGTTACCACCTACACGCTGCAGAGACGAAAGGGGAAGAGGTAGTATTACCAGAAGCCAGGACGTTGGAGGACTGGAAGAGGGGCCCCGATGGCACTGGTGCTGGGTATCTGAGGAGACCGCACGGCTGGTCGGGAGTGGCCGCATAGCCTGGAGCAGTAGTCGCTGGTGCTGTGCTTCTGCGGGACAGGGAGGTGGGCAGTCGTGGGAACCTGCAGGAGCGTGCTCCCAGTCTCTCATCCGTACCTCCCTTAGCAGAACAGAACATGGCCCGAGCTGGCAAGGGGCTCTAGGGAGCATTGTTTGCAGACTCAGGCTCCCGTGTCACAGAGCTGCCTCTATCGAGCACAGGAGCTGAGAACCAGGAAGGGTGCCGAGCACTGGGTAAAACAGGTCTTCACTGTTGATAGGAATGTAAATGGGTTCAACATTATAGGGAGACAAGTTGCCAATATCTGTAAACATTTCATTTAATTTTAATTTTTTTATTTTGAGCAACACGCACAAGTTTATTAAAGTATAAGATTAGAAAGGAAGAATAGTAGGGAAACTATATTTACAGAGCAGGGACCTTCGAAAGTGAACGCCTCTGTATCTGTAAAAATTTTAAAGGTGAATTCCCGTTGACCCAACACATTTATCCTATAAAACTGGTAGCCCAAGTATGGAGAGAGATATGTACATGATATTTCATTGGGATATTTTATGTAATTTCAAAAATTGGAAATAGCCTGAATGCTCATCATTAGGGGATTAGCTAAATGTATTGTGATATTTCCATTTAATGAAAAACATGGCCATTAAAAATAAGAGTTTTACCTTTGTTATAGAGTGATAAAAGCTTTATTACATATGATCTAGCATTTTGAAAATCCGAGAGTCACAGTATTGAACCTAGTGTGGTTTTTCAGAAGGTGGCTGCAAACATAAATTTAGATGTAATAAGTGCAAAATTTCATGTATGTTATTTTTTTCTCTCAACAGTTATGAATGCAGGGATGAGGAAGTATTTCCTACAAGCTAATGATCAGCAGGACCTAGTAGAATGGGTAAATGTGTTGAACAAAGCTATAAAAATCACAGTAAGTATTTGTTTTGTTTTACCTTTGAAAATATACCTGCTGAGTCTCCAGTTTACCAACAGGTTGCATCCTCAAAGGTTATTTAAAAGGGATGTGTTCATAATGTGAATACATTTTTTTGTGCAAGGTGGTTATCAGCCCTTAAAACCAGCCTGTAAGTGCCATTTTAACCCATTATGTACCTAATGGGGTATATATTAGTGTGGCTTTTAACCACTGCACCAGAATGTTTCTAGGGGAAAATGCACGTTGAGGATGTTTTCTCTTCCCGAGTAGGATAAGGGGCTTCCTGCCACCAACCCCGCTACTAGGCGTCGGCCTTCCTGTCTTCCAGGCCCTGACTGGGCTCGACACTGGGTAGGGTAGAATTTGACGCTAGGAGCAGGAAGCGGAGGTGAGGCCGTGGAAGTGAGGCACAGGGAGGGGTAGGGAGTGGATCTGAAGAGCCTGGGCAGCCAGAGGGTCCTGGCCACACGGCCCCTCGGGAGCTTGTCTCACCCACTTTTCTCCTTGAGTTCAGGGCTGGCTCCCCTTGCAACTGCGTCTCTGGGGCTACAGCTTCCTGCTTGCAACCTGGGTTTCTTTTTCTGGCTTTCTGTCCCTGAAGGTTTTACCTAAATCATCTGGAACAGTGAGCTTAGAAGGATTGAGTAACTTTTACCGGTTTCATCGCTGATAAGCTGTGGAGCCGTGAGCCAGACCCAGGCTGCTTGACTCTGGAGCTCGACCCTGGAGCACAGGGCCCTGAAAAAAGAGCCCTGTCCTACTCTTTTGTTCGTAAAGCAAAAACCAGACTTTTCTGAGAAAGATTACTACTGAGGACGATAAGCAGGTAGATAGCTTCTGCGCCCTGATTCTACCTCTCCTTGCTTTTCCCCTCCTTACACGTACAGAAACACACAGAGAGGCGTACATGGAAAGGCTCTGAAGGAGTTCCTGTGTGAGGTTGGTTTGAGTCGAAGTGTGTTTTTACTAAAGTATGGTTACCAGTTTACTGACCCTAAACGACTTACTCTCGAAAACCATATGCTCTGAAAGTCAGCATATGTTATAGTCACTTGTTAGTTTCCATCTAAAATGAATGAGTCCATATTTATATCACAACACAGTAAAGAGTTAATATAACTAAAGCTGCTCTCGGAGTTAAGTCGGATTTTTTGTCTTGCACCAGACAGCTTGTTGCCACATGACAGAAAACACCCACGCGCTGCTTCTGATCTGTACACGAAGCAGAAGTTAATTTTAGGTCCGTGCAGTTTCAGGAAAGCAATTTTTTGAACTGATTCAGAAGTACATGTTCTTAAAAAGGTCTTAATTAATAGCTTTTAACTCTTAATATATATATTTCTGAGGTGAAATTTTCTTTAGAAAGACAGTATCTAGTCACTTTACTAAATTAGTTCATTTCTTACAATTTACAGTAATTCCCAGCACCGGATTCTGAGTGCTTCTAGAGAAAAAGTAGTGAATAGTCTCAGGGTTTTTTACCATTTTTGGGGGCTCTTGAATCAATGTCTCTAGCTGATTAATGGTGTGAAACCATCTTAACGCAGATGACACTGTTAAGCTTATTCAAATGCAAGAGAAGCTGATTAGGGCTGGATAATGTTCCAAAGTATAAAGGCATTTGTGGTCTTGCAGTTTTATTTTACACGTTGAAATTTTTAGGTTTTAAGCTAAATCAGTTGGTATTCATGCTTTTATAATTCTTCTTTTGTAATTCATATTTAGAAAATATGAATCCATAGAAAATCTAGAAATCCTTAGTTTGTCAACAGATTGAATATAACTATAGGAAAGTGAATGTAGACTTGATAGCACTTACTAAAAATCAATTTTATATAAGCATTTAACTTCTAGGATAGCAATGAAAGAATTTCCCATGCTTACATAAGATTTATTTTTTTTTCTTTAAAGAGTCTTGTCAGTTTTAATATCTTTTGCGTGTTACACATGTAAATGTATTTGGGTGTGGAATCTCTAATTTGTCATACATTCCTGTGGAAATTGCTGATGTTTAATGTAGATTTCTTTATAGAATTAAAGTTTACATTTTAGTGTATGTGTTGTTTACGTTTCTGTAGAATTTCTCCAAATGGCATTTTGGTCAGCTGTGTAATTTAGTGGTCTGCTGAATACAACGTGATATATAAATTTTTAGAAATTCATAATTAGGGATTGGAAGCACATGGCTTCAGAATAGGGGGTGGTTAGGGAATAGTGGTAAGGGAATGGTGATTATTTAACTGTTTCCTAATTATAGTACCTCATCTCAATGGACTATCCTCTGACACCGTGGTCTGTGGCTTTTAGAACTTTCCTCACATCTATGTGAATATTTATTGGTGGCAGCTTTTTAAACAAATTTTCCCCCTTATTTGAAAACAAAAAGAGAGTTGGTAATGGAGGAACCAACCCTGAAGGGAGTATCAGTGAATAGAGTTGGGAAAATCAAATTTTAAAGTATACTTTCAACTGACCATTTATAATAAGTAATAACAGTACAAGTATGGTGGCCTCTGGTCCCTTGTTGTTGAAGGAGTGTCCAGGATGTGTATGGTGAGTTCCTAAACAGAAACCCACTATCTTTTAAAATAGTGTCTTTTCCCCACCATAGATTGTACTTTAAAAATCAATACTAGAGTTTAATTTAAAATTAGTGTTTTTGAAAGTGGCCAGAACTCCACTTTTTTTTTTGGACAGCTGGGAGCAAGGAGAATAAGCTGAGTATAGGACTTAGGTCCTAGCAAAATGATAAATTTGCCGCAAAGTGCAAGGCTTTCTACTTTATCCTAGTGGTTTGCAGCTGGCAGGTCATGTATAGAGCCCTGAGAAGGCTCTAAGTACCCAGGAGTTTGTGTTTAAATGTTTTAGGTTCTAGTCAGCAAGCCCTGTTTTTTTTCCTCCATTTTGTTCGTCTCTTCTTTCTCTGACTGCCTTTTCTTTTCTACTGTTAGGAACACAGGCAAACGCCTCCTAAAAATACATGCAGATTCCTCACAGAATACAGCCACTATATGAAGGATAGAAAGCAAGAGAGAGCAGGGAAAAGTCAGGGGCAAGGAAACCAAGCACATTTAGTGTCTTTGACACTTGCTGCCTGCCTAGTGAGATCATTTTTCTGATTCTCATTAAATCGTTGGCTGATTTTTTTTTTTTTGGTCTTGAAAGTATGTTTATTCTAATGGCTGGATTTAGACTAACTTTCATTCAAAATTTTTAAGAGAGTTACTGTATTCATGGGTATTTTGCTTGTACTTTTCTTGTTCTTGGGGAATGATTACAGTTTAGATTATTTTTTTAATTGATAAAATGTTATATTAGTTTCAGGTGTATAACATATTGAAAATTCTACACATAACAGAGTTCTCACCACACAATTTAGATAATTTTTATTGTAAAGGGCAATTCTAAGTTAATTATTGAACTCTAACATTAAAATTATGCCATATTTAGCATTTTATTTTATTATAAGGACAAATTAGAAGCAGCTTAATAGCAGAGAGAAGGATTTTTTTATTTAATGTTTTTATTTATTTCTGAGAGAGACAGCATGAGCAGGGGAGGGTCAGAAAGAGAGGGAGACACAGAATCTGAAGCAGGCTCCAGGCTCTGTGCTGACTGACAGCACAGAGCCCGACATGGGGCTCAAACCCACGAACCGCGAGATCATGACCTGAGCCAAAGTCAGATGTTCAACTGACTGAGCCACCCAGGCGCACCAGAGAAAGATTTTTAATATACTATCATTTCTGGAAGAAAAATGGAAAAAGTATAAATATCACTGTATTTTTGGGTGATATTAAAGATTTTTCTTAGGAGATGCCCATGTGTGATTGACTAAACTGTCAACTCCTTAAAAGAAGGACTCACTTCATGTGGGTCACCTCTTTGTACATTTCAGCTAACACAGTTGAACAGGTAATTTTCTCTCTGGTTTAAAATTCTCTCATTGCTGTTTTCTGTTCTTAATGGGATAACTTGGCCCCGTTCCCTCAGTCATAAGTAAAATGCACGCTGCTGAGCATCATGGACTTGCTGTAGACTGTTTCTGGGTAGTGTCCCCTGTAGTCCTTTCACCATCTTGACCGGTCATTGGGTGGATCCTGTCAAGCAAAATTCTAGCTAGTCCCTGTTGCCTTTAAAAAGCTCTGCAAAAAGTGCAGCCTCTTAGATTTCGGGGCGCATTCCTTAGCAGGATTCATTTCTCTCCCTTTCCTGTTTTCCTCACTTTTGTTTCTGACCTGCATTGTAGTGTAAATATGGAGGAGAGGGCCCGAAGCCTGGACAGGAAGCCCTGTGGGGACGCTCTCCTGGGGAGAGAGGGAGGGAGGGGTGGGGGGGAGTTGCTGAAAGTCACCCAGGAGACACCTCGTGTATGTCCTAAGTTATGTGGGCGGGGATCTGCTACAGCCCAGCTTAGACTCACATGGACCGCAGGTGCCCACTTTTCATAAAGCCTCGTTCGCAGACGCCCCTGCCTCCCTGCTTCTCCCGGACCTGGTGGGAGAGGGCAGGCCGGCAGCAGGGCCCCCAGGGTGGCTTCTGCAGCAGCTGCCTCAGAAACCACTGGTGTTCCTGCCGACCGTGTGGCCGTGTGCACAGCACTGCGGCTTGAGCAAGTCTGCGTTTCTGGGGGTGCGGCCTGGGCATCTGAAGGTTTTAATGTTCCTGCCTGATGCTTCATGAATGTTAAAGCCTGAGAAAGCACACTGCTTTGGAATCGTATCAGTACATGGTTTGGGTCTTTGACTGCAGGGTGAATGGTGTCCCCTGGAGCTGTGCCCCTTCCTGTTAACGTGGACTAACTGTGAGGCAGGCAAGTTAGTTGATTTTAAATGTGTTTACACCACCACTGCGGTGCTGGTTGGAAGTACTTGTAATGTTTCTGAAACACTGCAGGATCCCCAAATGCCCTTTCAAATCATTGGAGAGAGATTAACTGTCATGCCCAACATTACATCAGTGCTGAGCATATTTTATTACATTTTATCCAAAGTCAAAAAAGTGTGTAATTCAAAGACAGGCTACCTGCAACAGTCTATGGACAGAAATGCTGTGGCCCCAAGTACCTTGTTTCCTGATTAGGCCACATTAGAAAAGCTAAAATGTATGTTAAACATTTGTGGTACCTTTGATTCTTTGATTCCATGTTAGTGATGTATTTGTGAGTGATTTATCATTGACACAAGTGTTGGAATTTCTTGGGGCACCTGGGTGGCTCAGTCGATTGGACGTCCGACTTCGGCTTAGGTCATGATCTTGTGGTTCTTGGGTTCGAGCCCCACATCGGGCTTTGTGCTGACAGCTCAGAGCCTGGAGCCTGTTTCAAATTCCATGTCTCCTTCTCTCTCTGACCCTCCCCTGCTCACGCTGTCTCTCTCTCTCTCTCTCTCTCTCTCTCTCTCTCAGAAATAAATTAAAAAAAAAATTTTTTTTTTTAAAAACAAGTGTTGGAATTTCTTATCAAAATTTCTAATTTTTTTTTAATGTTTTATTTATTTCTAGGAGAGAGAGAGACAGCATGAGCAGGGGAGGGTCAGAGAGAGGGAATCACAGACTGAAACAGGCTCCAGGCTCTGAGCTGGCAGTCAGCACAGAGCCCGAAGCAGGGCAAGAACCCACGAACCGCAAGATCATGACCTAAGCGAAAGTCGGACGCTTAACCGACTAAGCCACCCAGGCGCCCCATTTCTTATCAAAATTTCTAATAAGCTTTAAATTATTTTGAACATTTTGATTTTTAATTTCTGTTGAGTATCATGTTCTTTTTTTCCTGCTGATTTTGGAATCATCCACTGAGTCAGTCTTTGAACATTTACTGAATACTGTTTTCAGTGGTAGACTGTCCTGGCACCAGTCGTGATGCATTTGCCGCGATCTCTGTCCTCAGGGGTCCCGCAGAATCACAGGTGGCAGTGGAGGACTGGGAGTGAGAACGGCTCGGAGCTATGGTGTGGTGTCAAATGCTCTAATAAATGGAGAACACAGTAGAGTGGCTGTGTGTAGGAGAGAGTTTCAGACTTCAGTAGAACATAGTACAATCAGACCCTAAACCTATGTTTCTAAACCTGTGTTTCTCTGAGCCTCGGTTTTTTTCTCACTGCTACCATGGAGGCGCAGGCCCTGTGCCTGGGGTTGATCAGAGGATGAAGTGGGAAAATGTATGAAATAGAACCTGCCCAAGTAGACCCTCAGGAAACAATGGCTGTATTATCAAGTATTACTGTATCAGAAGAGTGAGTGTGAGAACTTAAAGGGGCATACACCTGTTATACATAATTTTTATAAATGTCAATTTATAAAATTATAAATTTTATAAGTGTCAATTATATATAAGCAGAAATTAGTTGGATATTCTGTGATAAAAGAGGGTCTCCTATAAAATGCTGGTTGCGAAATGATTCATTTACATATCATTTTAGGTACCAAAGCAGTCAGACTCACAGCCTCATTCAGATAACCTAAGTCGCCAGAGTGAATGTGGGAAGAAGCAAGTGTCTTACAGAACGGACATCGTTGGGGGCGTGCCCATCATTACCCCAACTCAGGTGATACATCAGTTATTCTGTGTGTGGTGGTTTACCTACTGCGTAGTGATTTTTATGTTGTTCGTCTTTACTGAATTAATATAGCAGTCAGTTAATTAAAAAAACTTCGTATCTGTTTATTTCAAAAGTATGTGTGGATCAAAACATTTGGCAATCACATACAACACTTAACACTTTTCATGTTTTCTTTGAGCCTTCTTTTTTTTGTTTTTTAATTTTTTTTAGTGTTTTTATTTATTTTTGAGAGAGACAGAGACAGAGATGGAGACAGAGTGCCAACAGGGGAGGGGCAGAGAAAGAGGGAGACACAAAATCCAAAGCAGGCTACAGGCTCTGAGCTGTCAGCACAGAGCCTGACACAGGGTTCGAACTCACAAACAGGGAGATTGTGACCTGAGCTGAAGTCGGACGTTTAACCGAGTGAGCCACCCAGGCACCCCTCTCTGAGCCTTTCTTCTGTGTACTTTTGTCTCCAGAAATGGAGATCCTTTGTAAATAACTTTTTTCACCTACATCTCAAGCATTTTCTAAGACATTAAGAATTGTTCTACATCAATTTTAATCACTGGGTAGTCATTTTGCCTTGAATTTACAATAGTTTACAAATGGGCTGTTTTTGGGCAGAGTTCCTTTTCCTTTTGTAAACAACATGAGTGGGAAAAACCCACGCTTCCTCTCACACGCCTGCCACAGTCACAATGCTGCTGACACCAGAGGTGTGGTTCCCCCCCACACCAAGCAGTTCTGTGACACTGGCTTCGTGGCCTGCAGTTTAACTGAATTCTGACAGTCAGCCTGGATCTCACAGGTTATGGGCCTCATACCCTCCCCATCCTTCCAGACGCAAGTCAGAAGTCCAGGTTGTTACCTCTGCTTCTGACTGATGGGCTGTAAATGGAAGGTTTTATGACCTTATCTCCAGATTTGATTGATTTTTGAGAGCAGCTCGCAGAACAGGGGCAAACAGGTTATTTACTGTTTACCAGCTTATTATAAAAGGAGATGATAAAGGATGTGGATGAGCATCCTGACGGAAGAGATAGGAAGGGCGTGAACCTTCTGGGACTCTCCCAGCACCTCCATGTGTTCAGCAGCCCAGAAGCTCTGTGAACCCTGAACTTCTGGGATTGTTTTTACAGGTGTATTTAGTTTGAGAGAGAGACAAGAGAGAGCACATGAGAATGGAGGAGTGACAGAGAGAGGAGAGAGAGAATCCCATCAGGCTTTGCATTGTTAGTGGGATGCTTAGCCAGGTGCCCCTCTGGCTGCTTTCATTTTGTGCAGAATTAAGATTTGGTTGTGTTTTAATTTTAGTGCAGATTATTCAGTAGGTTGTAAGATCCCATAGCAGCTGCCATATTAAAAAGATCCCAAAGAATTTTTTTTTACTTTGTCATTTTGTAATGTAGCTTTTTAAATTATAAAGAAGTATTTACTCATGAGAAAAGCATTTAATTGCTATATTATGAAGAAAATGACCAATCTCACTTGGTTGATTAGTTTATTCAGTATTGCGTTAGCAGCAGTTAAGTGCTGGAATTACAGACTTTAAGTACATAATCAGTGTTCTTGACCTGTCTAAATGTCTGATGGATTGAAAATTCCTCAAGATAAGACTTGACTATTAGTTTTTCTCTTGAAAATTAGGAGTTCTTGAAAAACAAATAACACATTTGGTTGATTAATGGGATTCTAGATTATAACATGTCACACATTATAAATAAACAGGAAGCCAGTGCTTTGGGGAGCACGAAAACATGAGTATAGTTAGATCATTTTTTAAAAGCCTGGACTTGGCCCGTGAAAAAACAAAGAACAAAACCCTGCAGAATTTTTAGATTCTAAGCAAGGAGAAAATCTTCTGGCAAAAGAGTTTTTAGACTTGCAGTCCATAAAAGGAAAAACTGATAAATTGATCCATATTGAAATTGAAAATGCTTGCTCCGTGAAAGACCCTGGTCAGAGGATGCAGGGGAGAGCTGCGCACAGGGAAGCGGTATCTGCAAACCACATAGCCGACAGGGACTTGTGCCCAGGACATGCAGACAAAGAACTATCAGAACTCAGCAGTGGAAAAATAACCCAATTAGCAAAGGGGCAGAATTCACGAACAGAGACTTCACCAAAAGATAGAAGATACACAGGTGGCAAAGAAGCACTAGAAGGGCTGCTCACTGTCATCTCATTGTCACTTGGCAAGAAATGCAAAGATTGCAGTGAGATGTCCCCGCACACCTGTCAGAATGACTCTGATAATTAATAACACACGCGTTGGCAAGGCCGAGGAGAAACTGCATCACTCGTACATTGCTGCCGGGAATGCAAAACAGTACAGCCCCTCTGAAAACCGGTGTTTTGTTGAAGTGCACTCATGATTACCGTCCAGCCCTGCACGAGCGCTCCTGGGCTGGGCTCCTGGAGAGCTGCGGCCTTACATGTACACAGGTCTGTATGGGAACGTTCAGAGCAGGTTTATTCTGAACGGCCCACAACTGGGAATGACTCACATGCCCTTTAACAGGTGAAGAGTTAAATAGCCGATGGTACATCTAGACCTTATGTGGTACTCAGGGATGGGCCAGTGACAACAGGGAGTGGCCTGCATGAGCCTCCACAGAATGAGGCAGAGTGTAAAAAACCTGATCTCAAAAGGTCACCTGCTATAGGATCCATTTCTATTATACTGTCTAAGTGTCAAAGTAATGAGGACGAAGAACCAGTTAGGGGCTGCCAAGAGATTGGGCATAGGGACTCTAAAAGGGTAGCCCAGGGGCAGCTGGGTGGCTCAATTGGTTGGGATGCCGACTTCGGCTCAGGTCATGATCTCATGGTTCGTGGGTTTGAGCCCTGCATCAGGCTCTGTTCTGACAGCTAGCTCAGAGCCTGGAGCCTGTTTCAGATTCTGTGTCTTCCTCTCTTTCTGACCCTCCCCTTCTCACGCTGTCTCTCTCTCTCAGAAATAAATAAAACGTTAAAAAAAATTTTTTTTTTAATAAAATAAAAGGGTAGCCCAAGGGAGCCTCACAACGGTGCTGTGTGTTGTGGTTTTACACAATGCTGCATGGGACAGGAATGCACAGAATGACCCACACATGAAGACAAATGAGTGTGTGTAAAATGGGGAACATCTGAATATGGCTTGTAGGATGTTCCCATGTCAGGTTTTTTTTTTAAATGTTTTTATTTTATTTCTAGGAGAGAGAGAGAGACAGTGTGAGCAGGGGAGGGTCAGAGAGAGAGGGAGACACAGACTCTGAAACAGGCTCCAGGCTCTGAGCTGGCAGTCAGCACAGAGCCCGACGCGGGGCCCGAACCCACGAACCGTGAGATCATGACCTAAGCGAAAGTCGGATGCCTAACCAACTAAGCCACCCAGGCGCCCCAATTTTGTCTCAGTTTTATCAGTGGTCAAATAGCTAGAGGCCATTTCTCCTCTCTTTCCCAAGGATATAATGAAAAGCAAATAAGAGCTAGATTGGAAATAATACCTCAGGGCAATTTAGACTTTAGTTTTTAATTTTTTTTTTTTTTGCCTCTTCAGCTGTATAACTGGNACAGGCTCCAGGCTCTGAGCTGGCAGTCAGCACAGAGCCCGACTCGGGGCTCGAACCCATGAACCGCGAGATCATGACCTAAGCGAAAGTCGGACGCTTAACCGACTAAGCCACCCAGGCGCCCCCCCATGTCAGTTTTGAAATGTGCTCTGGTTACTATAGTTATACAGTTTCCCTGTTGGGGGAACTGGTTGAAAGGGACATAGGAAGGACTTCCTGCACATTTTTCTTTTACAACTTCCTGTATATTATTATAATTACTTCAAAATAAGTTAACCCCCCCATTCCCCCCCACCCAAGCCCTGGTGGCAAAACAAGAGAAATAGAAATCTATGGTTTTATCAGTGATGTGACTGCTTCTGATTAAGTATCTCAAATTATTTAGAAAACTCTTCACTTCAAAATCTGTGTTCCTAACTGAACTAAGATTAGATTTTAAGGCTTTCTACCAGAATTACAACATGAAATACAACTGTGCTTTGTAGCTAAACAAGCAAGAAAAGAATTTCTTTATTTGCTTCATTCTAGAAAGAAGAAGTAAATGAATGTGGTGAAAGTATTGACAGAAATCATTTGAAACGGTCACAAAGCCATCTTCCCTACTTTACCCCTAAGCCACCTCCAGACAGCGCAGTCATCAAGGCTGGGTATTGTGTAAAGCAGGGAGCCGTGGTGAGTACCTTAAGAGAGTGTGTGCAGTAATGAAAATGTGAGTGTCTCTTAGCAAACTCTTAGCACACGAATCATTTGCTTTGTTTTTCAAAAGACCCAAAGTGAGCTGTGAGCGTGCAGAGGAGTCAGGAGGTAGAATAGGGGTGACTCTATATTCATAACTCAGTGCTGTTACTTCTTGGTCTGTGGGTAGCTGGGTAAGTTAGTGCTTATTACCACTGACCTTCAGTTTTAAATGAACTTTCCTAACAATTTAAATTTATTCCAGAAGGCTTTCCTCTTGATTACTTTATCCCTTGGGAGTGGGTCAGAGAATGAGAGCTCTAGCAGGGAGATGTCAGGAAGAGGTGGTAAGGGAGTGGGGTGTGGAAGGCTTGCTTCCTCCATTTGGTGTTGGGCTGACCTCCCTTGAATTCTCTGTGACCTTGGGCTTCTTACTTACCCTGTCAGGCTCTCAGTTTCTTTTTAAGGAAATTAGATGATAAAACCTACCACTTGGAGATATTTTGAAAGATGTAAATGAAGATAAGAGAGATCTTAGCACAGCACGTGGTCCTTAGAGCTGTTAAGGGTTAGCCAGATATTCTCATCCAGCCGGAGCCATGACGGGAAATTGTAGGAAGAGCACGTGCACTTACCGGTATTTCTAAGCTCCTAAAGTACCTTTCTAAAATTTGTCACTCTTTGTGTGAACCAAATTGTTAGAATTTTGCGAGAAAATAAACTTTAAAGTTTGGAAATAAAAGTAAAAAACGTTTCTGTGCGTAGGGAAATATTTAAAACTCTGCGGGCAGTTCAGTTTGACTTCATGTCCCTTTCTGGCAACGCTAATTAGTGTAGGTCAGCTGTGGACAGGTTCTTTTATCTGTAAGCTCCTGACCTTTAAGCCGAGGGAAGTGAAGGGGAGGCTGAGACTACATCCCACAGTAGCAGGTCTGCAGGGAAAGTCAGAAGTTCCTCAGGTCACGGCTTGCTTGTGTTAATGAGGGCTTATAGGGAGACCTTTCTTTCCTTCTGTTTCATTCCCAAGTCCGAGATAGCAACCCTTGGAGATACTGAAGTGCTTTCACAAAAACCATATTTCAGTAACAAGAACACAATATTTGTACAAAGCAGGTTCATTTTATTAAATATTTGTTGCTTTACTACTAAGTATAAAGTACCTGCAGAGAGATTCTTACGTTTTACAGATTTTACAGAACTTAATGTGGTTTAATAACATTTCCTGTGCTTGCTCTTGAACTCTTGATGGCATTTACTTTGTGGGGTTGGGGGACGGGGAAGTGCTTTTTTTTTTTTTCCTTTAACTTTTAGAGCATTAAAAATATGAAACCATATTCTAAAATTAAATGATGCAAACTGAAAACCAGCCACCAATGTTGAATTAGAAGTTTAAGGCCTGAGTAGTGAGAGATGAAGTTTCATGAATTTCCTCACTAAGGGAGGTTAATGAGATTTCTTAGGGCTTGACATTTCTGATTATGAGTTCATATCAGAATATTTAAGTGGCTGTTAACATTTGACATTCTTAGAAACAGAAGTCTTATGTCTGTGTTTGTCTCTTGTAGATGAAAAACTGGAAGAGAAGGTATTTTCAATTGGATGAAAACACGATAGGCTACTTCAAATCTGAACTGGTATGTTGCTGTGTCATAAATGTTGCTTTAAAATGTTTGAGAAGTATTACTCTGGGGAGTGTGTGTGTGTGTGTGTGTGTGTGTGTGTGTAGTTTCTTGTCCTGTTTTCTATTTTTAAAATAATTCTGGTTTTGAGAGGTATATACAGTTCAGTTTTTTTGGTTGTAATGTTTTAATGGTAATGCTCTCTTGATACTTTTTTTTTTTCCTATTGCAGATTGACTTTTCAGGTTTTTTCATAAAAAAGACCATTTTGCCTTGTGGGGTAGAATCAAGACTGAAATTCTCTCTTTCACTTGTTTGAGTAACATCCTTATTGAAAGTATTCTGAGTTCTGCAGCAGATTGCTGGATAATTTGAATGCTTTTTTATACCTTACGTGTCTGTCCTGCCTCCTTTTGTTTTATGGGACCGTTGAGTGGGGATCATATTCTTTATTTGAATGAAGACACCAGAATAGCACTCTCTGGTGGAACTTTCTACACTGATGGAAATGACCCATACCTTCATTGGCCAGGTTCACTGGCTACATGGGCTGTTGAGTGCTGGAAATATGGCTAGTATGACTGAGGAACCTGACTTTATTTCATTTTCAAATTAAAACTGATTGTTTTTTTTTAATATTTTTTAATTTAAATAGTTCTACCTAGGGGCGCCTGGGTGGCTTAGTCGGTTAAGCGTCCGACTTTCGCTTAGGTCATGATCTCGTGGTTCGTGGGTTCGAGCCCCGCATCGGGCTCTGTGCTGACTGCCAGCTCAGAGCCTGGAGCCTGTTTCAGCCTGTGACTCCCTCTCTCTCTGACCCTCCCCTGCTCATGCTGTCTCTCTCTCTCCTAAAAATAAATAAAACATTAAAAAAAAAAAAAATAAATAAATAAATAAATAAATAGTTCTACCTAGCTATTGATACTATATTGGACAGCAGAGTACTTAGAGAATAAGGAAAGGAATATTTTGATATTCATCTCAGGTATCTGTTCTTCTGGGAAGCTTTTGGACTCTGTTTAAGGGCCTTCTCCTTACACACCATGGTTCCCGATGCCCACTTCTATTATAACACTTCCTGCTGTGTTTAGTCACTGTATGCATACTTGTCTTTAGCAGTTGACTGTATGAGCTTCTTGAGAACAAAGATCTCTTTTATACCCTTTTATGAACACAGCACCTGATACTTAGTAGATAATCAAGAAGTGTTTTTGAATGAATGAAAAATGGCACAGCACAGCAAGAAGAGCCATTTTAGCATGGGAGCCTTTCTCAGATGTCAAATTCCAGGAGCCTCAACTGGAAGTAGTAGTTACTTGGCTCAAAAAGTATCAGACGTGGTGTAGCAGAAGGCTGCACGTTTGCTTGGTTAGTAGGTTGATTCATTGCTTTTAATTAAGGCCAGTGGTCTTGGGAAGAGTCATTAATGCCACAGACATCCGTTGATCCCTGCGTGGCCCTGGCGCAGTGTTCTGGGACCTGGGAATAAAGAGAACAGTCAGCGGTGTTCTGGCCTTTTTCAGGAGTTCAGTTGCGCCAGAGAAGTTGACGTGTCCCCCATCACCCGCAGTCATTATAAGACAAGAACTGTGATGGAAATATTTGCTATATTTTGAAAACCTGCATGTAGACGTTATGCTGTAAAAATTTGAGATGGGAGAAAACTGAACTAACAAAGGAGGTAGGGAAATCATGCCATGTGTATTTAGGAATGTGTTAAGCATTTAGAAAACTCAGATAAAGCTGGAATCTTTAAATGTATTATAATTATGTACCTTCATTAATAATTCAGGTGTACATTTCCCCCCAACATGTAACATTTCTGGAAGGGTGTCTTAGCTGCAGGGGAGGGGCAGTCAGGCAGCAGCTGCGGGGTAGCTGTCCTTGCTCGCATATGCACAGCACCCCTGGGTAAGATCTGGAAAACACCAGCACCAAAACCTGCCAAAGAGGGTGCTGTCAGCTTGGAAGAAAATCTCAGAGACACGGTGGAACATTCTTAAGACTTGCTGCATCCCCTACACTCTTTTTGACAAAGAGAATGGTATGGAGTGGAAAAACATCGACATTGATGGCTCTGGGTCAAAAAGTGATTCAGAAGAGCTGGAATCTGAATGTGAAGTTTTAAAAAACCTTAGTCACTTTACTTTTGCTTATGTACCTACATAAGCTCCAGAACGATAAGTGATAAAAGTTGATGTTTAGAGTATAAACGGCTCTTTTATGAAACGTTTTGATCATGTAGAAGTTTAAACATACAGTAGATAGAATAATATTCTGGACCCCTCTTATCAACACATGGCTAATTTTGTTTCTTAGTTACCACCACCCACTTCCCCTTTATATTTTGAAGTAAATCCTAGACATATTATTTCATCTGTAATTATTTTAGTATGTTTTTCTAAGAGATAAGGAGTTGAAAACTTTTTCAGTAGGTATGAAGGATTTAAGTACACACCTGGAAACCTGGAGAAAGTATTTGTAATATATATCAAGGATAAAACACTAATATCCCTAAAGAATCTTTAAAACCGAGGGATTCTTCCTTACCCTCTGCCCTCTTACCTCCCAAACATAAGACCTAAAATTTTTAGGGGAGGCGGATCAGTGTAGGCGTTCATGTGGTGGGGCAGGGGCGGAAGGAGCTAGAGTAGCCTGGTGTGGGCAGTCAGAACCCAAGAAGGACCCTCTTGGGTTAGCCCAACAGGGAGCAGGGGGAAGAGCGTATTCAGATTGGGAAGAGGGTGGGCGCAGAGATGGGAGGGTGTTGACATATATAGTTGATAAAATAAGTAAATGTATTAAGGATAATAGAAGCCAAGTTTCTCACTGTCCAAAAAGGGAGTACCAGATAAGGAAAAGGAGAAGGAAGATTGGAATTGAACGTATCGATGTGAGCATGTAACGTATACAGGTGGATGTAGAATTAAACAGAGATGTAAACGTATTCATGTGCTTACATATGTGTGCATATGATATACTTCCTAGCTCTGTGCAACTGGAAGAAAACTGCACCATTTTCCACTGAAAGAAACCTGGACTCTTGGAGAAATGACAAGATTCCAAGGCTGAGACAGGAGAAATAAAAAATAAGCCTGAAATGTCTTGTATCAGAAAACAAAGTGCTCCCAGAATGTTAGGGACATGACCATAGGACTCAGAATCCAACTTGAAAACATCCCTGTTGCCAAATTTGGAGGATTATTTTGAGTATCAGAATAAGTAATGATAGTAACAGATTATTGCTCTTTGAATAAAGTAGAAACCTACAAACCTACACAGATATAAATGGGTGGATGCATGAGTGTACACGTGTATGTATGAGGAGGAACCAGAGATCACATAGTTTCAAAGTCCCTGTCTACATAATACACGTTAAGTACAAAAAGGGAAATAGTAACTTTAGAGTAATAAAGATACCACTGGCAGATACCACTCTAATCAAGTGATCAAATGACTAGAGGGAACTTCATCAGTGGTGAGATGAATTAAAATTATTTACCATCTGATGAGATAGCTTGAGAAAGTTCCTGCCAAAGATGCCTAACCTGAATTTCATCCTGCTGAAGGACCAGACACACCCAAGTCAGGGGCATTGTTCAGAATGACTGCCTTGGAGCCTTCAGTAGAGTCAAGATGGGGAGTCAGGGACAGAATGACTGAAGGAAAGAAAGATATAACAAGGACATGCAGTCGGCGATTCTGAACTGAATTATTTTGCTTTAATAAAAGGACATCTGGAGGACACTTCCCTAATTTTGATGGTTGTATTGTGATAACAGAAAAGGATGTCTTTGCGGGAAATACATACTAAAGTAAAGGGTATCAGGGGCCAGGTCAGCAACTCGCTCTGAAATGGTTCAGGAAACTCAGGCCTTTGTGCTCTGTTTTCAGCCTTAGTCTAGTTTGTGGTTGGTTCAGAATTGACAGAGAGAGAAAACCAAGGGGAAAGTATCTGGTAGAAAAATGAGGAAAACACATAAATAGATAGTTCCTCTAGAAAGAAATTAAAATGGTCTTTAAACATATTTAGTATCACTCGCAACTAGAGAAGCACACGTTAAAACCTCACAGGAGTATTACTTCTCCTCTATCGTAAGAAAGCCATGGTGGAGTGAAGAGATGAGTGGTCTTCTGCCCCAAAAGCAAGTATAAATGCTATTCTTAAACAACAGGAACCTGGAACATTGGCGAGATGGCTGAAATCAGATGGGTCAGGGACAGGAAGATCTTCTCCCCAGAAGATCCAGTTGTGACAGAGAATAAGGAAGTGACTCAGAGAATGATGGGGATGTGACAAAAGGACACAGAACCAGTGTGAAGCGGCTCCCAGTACCGCAAACTCGTACACTTTGAGCACCAAAATAAAAAATGATAGTAATGGATTACAACCCAGAGAATGAAACAAGCCAAAGAAATAAATGGAGACAGAAATGCATTTCTACAGAGTAAAATTGCAGCTACTACATGGATGGGATTAGAGAAGAATCACCATTTGGCAGCTACTACAGTCATGATGGTTTCAGGCGAGAATTTTCAAAGCTTGGTAAAATAGGTGAGCAAAATGATGGGAAACTGGGTATTCCATAGGCTTCAAGTATCTTCTCACAAGATACTTAATAATGGCAAAGGACAAACGGGTAACTTTCTAGTTACTGGAAACATGACCTTAAGAGGTGAGGTGTAACCCCCTAGTAAGGGGACACACTGCTTTCATGGGCTCCTTGAGAACGATGCACCAAGAAGAACGAAGTGTGCCTGTAGTTTCCCACCAAACTGAATCGAAGCATGATTCACATCATACAGACCCAAACTAAGGGACGTTCTACAAAGTAACTGGCCTGGACTCTTGAAAACTGTAAAGGTTGTGAAAGAGGGGGAAAAAAAAAGACTGCAGAACTATTCAGTGATAAAGGACACGAAGAGATAGAACCACTAAATACACGGTCTGATTCCAGATTGAACCCTGGAGCAGAAAATCCATAGTTCTCCTTTTATGTCAAGGATACTGCTGGGCAATTAACGAGATCTGAATATGGTTTGTAGATTAGATAACAGTATTGCATCAATGTGGAGTTTTTGGGTTTTGTGATTGTACTGTAAACGTCCTTGTTTTAGGAAATAACCACTAAAGCACTTAGTAGTAAAGCACATATCTATGATTTGCCTTCAGACATTTTAGGAAAACTATATACGCACATACCGTAGTCACATACATGAACACAGCAAACAGAATGATTTAGCAAACGTGAAATTTTAACATCTTGGAAAATGGGTGCAAGGTATACAGAAATTCTTTGTACTATTTTTGTAAGTCTTTTATAGTCTGAAATTATTCAAAAAAAAATTTTTTTTAATCTTGAGAGAGAGAAACAGAGCATGAGCAGGGGAGGGGCAGAGAGCGGGAGACACAGAATCTGAAGTAGGCTCCAGGCTCTGAGCTGTCAGCACAGGCCCAAGTCAGACGCTGAGCCAGCCGAGCCACCCAGGCACCCCTATAGTCTGAAATTATTTTAAAATGAACTATTTTGGAAAACTGAAAAGAAAGATTTGTGATTTTTTAAAGGGTCCAGCCATGCTTTAAGTTTTTCTTAGTGCTACATCAAATAATGGTGCTTCTAAATCTTATGGTGTGATATTCAGTGAACTACGGCCTATAGTATTTCATGGCACGCATAGTATGAACGGGCTATTGGGAACTAGTTGTGTCTTGTGTCTAGTTTTGTGACCTTACATGAGATACTTAACATGTGAGCTCCGTTTCCTCAGGTGGATAGGAGTGCATGTATTGTGGGGTTGTGGAAAATTGAAGTGAGGTAACATGTTTAAAAGTTAGCAGATGTCCTGGACTTAGTAAGAGTTCAATAATTGTGCTTGTTAAAATAGTGTATTCAGGGACGCCTGGGTGGCTTAGTCGGTTAAGCGTCCGACTTTTGCTTAGGTCATGATCTCGCGGTTCGTGGGTTTGAGCCCTGCGTCGGGCTCTGTGCTGATTGCCAGCTCAGAGCCTGGAGCCTGTTTCAGTCTGTGACTCCCTCTCTCTCTGACCCTCCCCTGCTCATGCTGTCTCTCTCTCTCCTAGAAATAAATAAAACATAAAAAAAAAAATTAAAAAAATAAAAATAAAAAATAAAATAGTGTATTCATATGAAAGTGATACTCTTAAAATAACAAATTTAACTCAGAGAAGCTGAGTATATGCTACGCTGGTGCCTTCTACATCAAAATAACATTCCGGAAGAAGAAGTCTGCTACTTACAGGGTCCAGAGGGGTCCACTGGGGAAAAGTCTGATGATTTGATGGCTTTTACTAAGCTACACTGTCATTAAGGCCAGAAATCATATGAATAAGGATTATATGTCAGTTTCCTTGTTTCAAACCACAGTGTGTATAAGGTTCTTCAGTATTTGAGCTGTTCTGGTGCCGGATGGTTCAGGAAGGTAGATTTATGTCTCAGATGTGCTCTATAGAGATCTCCCAGTAAGACAACTAATCCTTAAAAGGATTTTAAGAATATCCATTATGTGTCTGTGTGCTTTTTTTGCCAGGAAAAGGAACCTCTTCGTGTAATACCGCTTAAAGAGGTTCATAAAGTCCAGGAATGTAAGCAGAGGTAAGTAAGCCCCCGCTGTCACTTAGAGCCTGCCATGGCATACTAGTCCTCAGCAGTGCTGGTGCTCCGCAGTACTCAACAGTACTGGTGCTCCGCGGTGCTGGTGCTCCGCAGTACTCTACGGTACTGGTGCTCCGCGGTGCTGGTGCTCCGCAGTACTGTACGGTACTGGTGCTCCGCGGTG